TTGTGTGAGAAAACTCAATATGCTTAAGACTCTTAATTGCTCATATGTGTACCTAAAGCCTTGATTGGAAATGTCTTACTGTTGATAACCTATAAAGATGTGAAAGAAGTATGAAATGCGATGATTGATATAAGTAAAAGTTATACTTGTGGACAATGGTGCCAATGGAATTAAAAGATGTGAAAGAAGTATAAAATGCGATGATTGATATAAGTGAAAGTTATATTGTGGCCAATGGAGCAAATGAAATGAAATGATATGAGAAAGGTTATGAAATGAGCCTTGATTCAACTATTCCGAATTGACTCCGTGCTAAAATTATGGTGGTATTGGTATTGATAGTAATTGTGGTTGATTCTCTAAAGAGATAGCCTAGCCGATCGGGCCGTGATCGGACTCTGTGCTAAAATTACGGTGGTATTGATAATGGTAGTAATTGTGATTGATGTCTCTAATGAGATAGCCTAGCCAGTCGGGACGTGATTGGACTTCGTGCTAAAAGTACGGTGGCATTGGTATTTTGAACATCGGTATTGTGAACACTGATATTGTGAATATTGGTATTATTAACATTAGTATTGTGAACAGTGGTATATCGGTGCTAAAGATCTCCCAATCAAAAATAATATTATCATCATAATTTGATTATCACTTCACAATGTTATCTTCATATTTTGGAAATTATTATGTTTTAACTTGGCATTTGAATATCATTGATTGTGACTTGTTGATTCTATGGATTTCCTTCTTTTTTTTTTTTACATCGGTATTCTATTTTAAAAGAGGACAGTTAGCTTTACATATTAGTACTATTCCATATGTACTAACGTCCCTTTTTGTCGGGGACGCTGCATTTTCAATGGATGTAGGTGATTCATCAGCAGTGCAACTTTGGTCCTCGTTAGCAGTTACACCCTATTCAGCAGGTTTTGGTGAGCCCTACTCTATTCTGGGCCCGATGTCACTTGATGTTACACTTTGTGTCTTGAAGTATAGTCGGGGCCTTGTTGCCGGCACTTCCATACTATTCTTCTATCATATTTAGAGGCTCCGTAGATAGGTTGTGGGTGGTGTATGATGTTGGGAATTGAACTAGAAATATTTCTATTTGGCAAACATGTTTTTCACTAAATCTATAAACTTGTAATACTCTAAAAATTATGAATGAAGTTGCTAATGGAATGACATGGGAGTTGTTAATAAAATATTTTCAATATTTGATTAATGGAGTGTATCTCCTCTTTATTCATGGATGAGTTTGGGTAGAAGGAAATCTAATAGGCTTGCTCGATCGGGTTCACTCGCTTGAGCGCCGGTCGTGCTCCCCGAGTTTGGGGGACGTGACATCCGGTGACATCGTCCGTGGCAATAGAATCCATGTCATCAAAAAATCTTTGGAGGGGATCGTTCGCTCCTTGGTCTACCTCATTTGACGCTCCTTCGCCGCTTAAGCTTCACCGAACATTGAGTCCGTGAACGAAGGCGATATCGTTATATCTATGACACCGAGTGGAGCAGAACCGGCGTCTTGAGGGTTCTCGACCTTCACTAATGCATCGACCTCTTGAATTTGGGAGGGATTGGCCTCTATTGTCCCTCATTCGGTTGATGTCCGTTCTTCAGGGACCGATGGCTCTGGGGCCACTAAAATTTCATCCTCTCCAGACTCGTCCCTGAATCGGTGGAGGGAGTTCGAATCAAGTATTTGGGAGCTGGAGGTTTCTTTTGGCTTGCGGATTAGCCTCCTCCTTGGTTTCTTTTTCTCCGAGCTCAGAGAACTCAGAGCCCTTTTTCTTTTCTTCTCTTCACCCTGTTTCGGAGCAGGGGACTCAGTGGGGAAATCATCACTACCGGATGGGGCCTCATTTGGACATCCTTGGGTAAACCTGCAAAAAGAAATAAAATAAGTAAGGACTTAATCATGCAAAAGGGAAATCAAATATTACTCACGAAAAAGATTTCACTGTGCAATCGAGCCTCCCATCGGCCCTTTGAAAGCCCGCGCCACTAGTACTCGAAATAAGGCATTTGTGATACGATTCCCTCGACCCACTCCTTGATTCGAGGAACTGCGTTCGAGATTCGAGCAACAGTTGCATCATCATAGAACACCGATAAGAAGGGAGGAAAAGGGCGATAAATAAAATCTTAGAAGAAAAATTATATACTTATATGACATGTTCCACTTCTCATGGAACGACATGTGTTCGGCCGGGATCAAGTCCGAGGTCCTCACTCAGACGAAACGGCCTAGCAAACCTCGATCCCTATCTTCATCGATACTTGAGAACGGGGACTTAATGGCCCAACGAGCGATCTTGATCAGCCCCCCGGTAGAGTCGGGGACTGTATAAACATATGAGGTGGTCGATAGTGAAAGTGCACCTTTCGATCTTGCTTACAAAGAAACTAAGGAGGGTTACGATCCTCCAGAAAGAAGGGTGAATTTGACTGAGGGTTACGTCGTATCTTTTGCAAAAGTCGAAGATAACTGAGTCCAAGGGGCCCAACGTGAAGGGATAAGTGTAAACACTTAAAATCCCTCGACGTGGGTGGTGATGGCTTCGTCAGGTTCGGGAACTACCACATGTTTATCAACCCAGTTATAATCCTTTTTAATTTTGGAGAGAATATCCTCGGTGATCTAGCAGATGTACCTCGAGACCTTCTCACACCGGCCTGGTATGGAGGAGGGCTTTTCGACTTTAAAGTCAG